GATTCCTCCGGTTACACAAAGGCTTTTTTGCTAACCAACGTCCAAACCTCCCCAGAACATCGAGGACGTCCAGGTCACCGGCCTGGAGGACGCCTCCTACATCGACAAGGTCGACGGCCTCAAGACCAAGGCCCAGTCCGGCGCCGTCACCTTCTCCGGCGAGACGGACCGCATCTACACCCCCGCCATCCCCCCCAGCGAGCCCCTGGTCATCACCGAGGCCGGCAAGCCCAAGTTCAGCATCGTCCGCCAGAACCTCGAGAACGCCGTCGTCTTCAACCCCTGGGTAGAAAAGGCCAAGGCCACCGCCGACCTCGAGCCCAAGGACGCCTGGAAGAACCTTGTCTGCGTGGAGCCCGGCACCGTCGGCGGCTGGCACCAGCTCGACAAGGGCGACACGTTCGAGGTCGCCCAGACCATCTCCCTCCCCTAGGGCGAGGGGAAAGGTAGGAGGGGTCGGGTAGGGAGGTTGTGACGGGATAGAAACACGAGATTTATTTTTTGAAAGAACGAAAGAGAGGGTGGGGAACGAAGAGATGGGACGGGACGAGAGAACCTTTGCCTAGTCATTTAGAAAGGAGCCACCTCGAGTATGATAGCATGACGGTTACGACAATATATTATGTTGGAGCTTTGATCTCGATTTTTCCTTTTTTTCTTCTTCTCTGTTACATTTGTAAAAAGGTGGGAAATGAAACTTTTCATAACTTTACTATTTCTCCCCTCATAGATTCTCATCAGGCTATATTGCTATTAAATGTCCCCCCAAAGAGTGTTTGATATTTTCCAACTTGAAGATTGACACTTTTTTCGCCCCATTCCTGGACTATATACATAAAAACATTCAACTTTTGTCACGTCCTTTTTCTTTTCTCCCAAACCCACGTAAACTTCCAACTCATGAACACAGCCCCAATCTAGGCGTCCTCTTGCGCAAGGTGATCAGCAACCAAGAACGCCAGCTCGAGCGCCTGCTTCTCGTTCAGCCGCGGGTCACAAAAGGACGTGTAGTTGGTCGACAAGTCATCCTCGACCAGCCCCTCGCTCCCGCCTAGGCACTCCGTCACGGCGTCGCCGGTCAGCTCGAGGTGCAGCCCCCCGAGGTGGCTGCCCTGCTCCTTGTGGATGCGCAGGGTGTCCTGCAGCTCGGCGTAGATGTCTGAGAAGCGGCGTGTCTTGATGCCCGTGGGGGTGGAGAGGGTGTTGCCGTGCATGGGGTCGCACTGCCAGACGACCGTGGCGCGGTACTCGGAGTCCTCGACGGCGCGGATGTGCTGGGGCAGGAGGTCGCGGACCTTCCCCGCGCCGTAGCGGGTGATGAGGGTGACTTTGCCCGGCTCCCGGTCCGGGTTGAGGGTGCGTAGGAGGTCGAGGATGTCGGCGAGCGGGGTCGAGGGCCCGACCTTGACGCCGATGGGGTTGGCGATGCCCCGGAAGAACTCGACGTGGGCGTGGTCGATCTGGCGCGTGCGGTCGCCGATCCAGAGGAAGTGCGCCGAGGTGTCGTAGTAGGCTGCGGCCTTGCGGGGGGCAGCCGAGGGCGCCGCGGGCACGGACGAGTTCTCCATGAGGCGCGTCAGGGCCTGCTCGTACTCGAGGAGGAGGCCCTCGTGGCTGGTGAAGAGCTCGACCGAGTCGAGGCCGGACTGGCTGGACTCGATAGCCTTGAGGAAGCGCAGGGTGCTCTGGATGCTGCTCGCGATGGCCGAGTACTTGGCCTTGAGCTCCGGGTCCTGGACGTGGCCCAGGCCCCAGTCGAGGGACCGGTGAAGATCCGCGATACCTGATGCGATACTGGTGCGGATGTAGTTGAGGGTGGCGGCGGAGTAGTGATAGGCCCTGGGCGAAGGTTAGCTGTTTGATCTACTTCAATTTATTTTCCCCTTTTCTTTCACTCTGTACATCTGTGTCTTCCTGATTCAAGGAAAAGAAGAGAACAAAGGATTCGGCGTGGGGTTGTACAAGTGAGACGGGCTTTCATACTTGACCAGCCGTTGAGGATCCAGCTCACGCTCATCAACGTGGAACCCATTCAGGATATCTCCCCTGAAACTGGGAATCTCCTTGCCGTCCACAATCTCCGTCGGGCTGGACCGCGGCTTCGCATACTGGCCGGCCATGCGGCCAATACGCACGATGCGCTTGCCGGAGCCCCAGATCAGGACCAGGCTCATCTGCAGCAGCAGCTTGATCTTGGACTCGATGGCGTTCTGCTCGCAGTAGTCGAACAGCTCGGCGCAGTCGCCGCCCTGGAGGAGGAAGGCCTTGCCCGCGGCGACGTCGCGCAGGTGAGCCTTGAGGCGCTGGATCTCATTGGGGTGGACGATGGGGGGCAGGCGGTTGAGCTCGTCCACGGCGGACGTCAGCTTGCTGGGGTCCGGGTAGGCGGGGGCCTGCTTGATGGGTTTTGAGCGCCAGGAGGCCGGGTCCCAGGAGGACGAGGCTGCGGCAGCTGAGTCTGACATGATGGTTCTCAAGGTAGGACTGCTCCTCACGAAGGGTGTGAGGTTCAAGCCCGGGTGGGGATGGTGTTTAGGAGGTAGTGCCGTGAGACGGAACAACCTGCGCCTGGAGAACGAGAGGGAGATGGTGTCTCTTCTCAATGGCCCTATTCTCGCTGCAATTGAGCGGGAAGGCCAGGTGGTGCTGAGATCGGAGGATGATGACTGGGTGCAAAGTGGGATGTGAGTCAGGGCGTCGTCGGAGGCGGGACAAAGCGGTCCGTGAGGCGTCTATTGTGACCCGTCCTATTGAAGGACAGTAGAATAAGTATTGTCTAATTGAAATGTTTAGTGTATTGTGTGATAGGAGATTATTTATTATATATGTCCGAATTATATACAATTCATTTTTTTTATCGGTACTCATCTGAAGGGTTCTTACTGAGAACTCTGCATGGACTGACTCAAGAGAGTTGAGCTTAAGGAAGTCGCTACCCTATACCAACGCTGTAAATCCCACCACCAGAACTGCCGCACGAGAATCATGCTGGTAGTTCGAGAGGCTCTATGCTTCCCAATCACAATTTCTCTAGATTAGGCCTCTACACTGCGAATATACCATCGGGGTTCTGTACATGAGTCTGTTGCTGAGGCACCAGTCTCATTCTAAATATTTCTCTCTGTGAGCAACTAAGCTTCAACATCTTGTCGGTGTATGTATCTGCATGTGACTACAAGTTAAGAGTATACTTAACCTACAGACATACTACTCACTAACATACTGTGACAGAGCGGATGGCATTTGTTAATCATATCCTAGAGGGTTTCGAGCAACAAGAACTTGTTGAGGCCTGTGCCAAGCTCGCGATGATCGGGTCCCACAATGTCGAGAATGGGAGACTTCGCCGCTGCAGGGAATGCTAAGTTCTTGTAAACCCCCTATCAGCGATTCATAACTGAATGCAAGACGCCCGGCCATTTGCACCTGGATGAAGAAGACCTGCCGAATGGGATATTGGCGCCTTGAAGCTCTCTCTGATAGGACTGCTGAGCATGGCTACATCTATATCGCAAACCTCCCGTGAGCTTAAGGCTTTGATATCGGTGACAAGGTTCAACAACCCTACGTATCAGGGTCATAAGTGACTTTGAGATTTTGTAGAAACTTAGGTAGCTATATGGCCACTGTCGTCGCTGGCAGACAAAAATCAAGATCAAGATTGAAGTATAGGACACAAACCTATAAGTAGCCGTGCGGCCGCTCGCTAAATCCCACCAGGGCCCCCCTGCCACTCTCCCCAGCGCACGGAGCAGCAGATCCCACCCCACTATAGCTCACCCAAGCTTCCCACCTCCAACTCTCTAACAACCACGAAACTCCCAATCCCAAATCCTCAAACACAAGAAAAAAAGCCCAACATGGCCGACCAGCAGCCCACCCCCGCCGACACAGAAGACGAGCGCAACACCGCCGCCAAGTCCGCCGAGGACCGCAAGGCCGCCTCCGCCCTCGCCAACCTCGACTCCTCCGCCTCTTCTTCCTCCGCCGCGCCCGCCGCAGCCGTCGACCACGAGGCCGTCACCAAGGCCATGAAGAACCTCGGCGGGCTGGGCTCCGGGTCCGGCACCCGCAGGAACGTGAAGGTCGACCCGGCCGACGTCGCCCTCCTCGTCGACCAGCTCGACATGACCCGGCCCCGCGCCACCGAGTTCCTCAAGAGCCACGACGGGGACGCCGTCACCGCCATGAGGGCCTACGTCACGGCATAGACGACACAACATCCCCCCCCCCCCGTCCGTTCCTCTCCACCACCGTGCCCTCTCTGAGACGAAAAAGGGAAGAAGAGAAAGAAGAAATAGACTACCCCGCCCTGCAGAGTATGGGGCAGGCGTCATGTGTCTTCTTCACCATACCGCCACAAGTCGACTGAGACCCAGATAGTCTCGTTGCCCAACCACATTACCTTGGCTCTATGCTCTTTCTGGCCTGTGATTTCCCAATCCCTGTATTTCGTCTTCCTAGTCTTCACATATCATCTTCCTTGCTATAGAGGGGGTATGCATCTCACAATGAGAACCGGGCATTGGGCTTACTATGACGTCTCTGTGCATTGGAAGGAAGAATATATCCCACTATGAGCGCTATATAGCGTACCTGATACCTAATGCGTACTTAGGAGGTTAGTCGGTACAGCAATACAGCTGAGTATATCATGTCATAGACTATCATATGCTCGTTCACTGGGGAAACACCCCTTCAATGAAAAGTACTGAACTTTGACACTCTATTCAAACAACTGACTACCTGACCTGGTATTCCTTGTGCGCCTGAAAACTCCTGCTACCAACACTATCAGGTAGGTAGCATGCATGCTGTAAAACAATGCTCCGTGCATAGGCGGACGAGAGCAAGGGAAGATCCTTACTGCACCCTCCGCCTTATTGTCATGAATTAGATATTATATAATGACCCATCCTCTTCGACATGACCAAGAATGTACATGGTGACGCATATTTCAGTTGAGGATGGGAAGATCCTTAGCACCGGGTGAGACATCTCTACGCCCAGGTCCTGGAGAGTGGGCTTCCGACCTTGGGAGCAAACTGAAGACTCTTGCGTCGGGCGGCCATCAATCGCAACAAGACCTGCTCATCTTTATCCTTACTCAGGATGCCATGTCCGAGGTCCTGAAATAGAGCAGACTTCTTTGGGGGACATGTGCGAGTTAGAAGCTCCTGCCTTGTGGGAGACATCTCAAGCTCTTCGGTATCATCGTCACCCGGCGTGCCTGGGATCTCATCGGCGTACCTTGCCACTGCTTCCGGAGCTGGAGTCTTCGGCACAGGGGTAAGAATGAACTTGGACCACTCAATGTCGTCCTCCTCCTCATCTTCCTGGCCCTCTAGTCCTTCAGATGGCGAGTGCATCCACGCGGTACTCTGCCGGCGGTTTATCGGTGTTGCGGGTGGTCCCATCGACTCGCGGGAGCTGCTGGTGCTCTTTGATCCATTGCCGTTCTTATTAGCGAGAGCCCTGGGCTCCATGCTCTTGCGGCGGCGAGCACCCCCGCGTGGAACGAGGCTGGTGTCGATGTAGTAAGGAGACTCGTCTAGCCATTCGTTCTCTCTTTCACAGCTGTAATCAAGTTAGCGCACTGTCATCCAAAACATCACACGAGGGGAGCGTTGCTTTAACTTACTCTAGTACCCAGCTGACTCCGACACATTGGACCACACCATCCGTCTGGCGGACCTTTTCGAGCGTACGCTTGCCACCATCCTTGTACACGACATGCGTGATGCCAATCTTGCTCGAGGAGGCGTCTTCACCAGAGAGACTGTTAGGGTTCCAGTGCCAAGTCTTTACGCATCGGGCTCCCATCTGTGTGAGGAGTTCGACAAAGATACCGCTGGCATCCGCGCCCTCGCTCGTATGGACGTCCACGTGAACGACTGCGCCGCGAAGCAGGGCAGGGTCCACATCCTTGCGGGGAGTTCGGACCGGTGTGCCCATGGTAGACCAGATATCCGACTTGCTCGGGGTTTCTGGCATCGCAGAGCGATCAGCTGCACGAGAAGACCTCCTCCTGTCCTTGCTGGGCGAGTAAGAGATGACAGTGCCGTTCCTGCCGAGGCCAGCAGAAGGCCTCTTCAGCGTAACACGGGACGCACTGAGGCTGCGCTTCTTCACCGGGCTTGGTGTTGAGTCGTCTGCAGGTTTCAGGGGAACCTTGGTCGTGGTGTTGAATGTCTTCATCAGCGGTCGCACAGGTGTCGTTGTGGCTGAGATGGCAGGATCGATGGGCATCTGGTTCTCATCACCGTATTCTTGGCTTGCGTCGGAAAGACTGTCGTCAAAGCTCTGAGCTTCAGGCTTGAGCAGTTGTTCAGGCTCCATGAGCGACATCTCGTCTGCTTCCTGGGCGAGCTCAATGTCCTCATCCAAGATCATCACGTCGTCAAAAGCCTCCTCACCGGTACCATTCTCCATGGAAATTGAGGGCACTGCTGGTTGGCCCTCGCCACCTGGATGAACATGCATTTCATCCTCAAAGAAGTTCTCAACTGCCGGGGATACGTCGCCCGACCCCAGACTAGGTGATTCATCACGGGTCTCCACACGAGCAGCCGGCTTTGTAGGGCTGGTGGCGCTCCAGGCTCCAAACTGCTCAGCCAGAGAAGTGAAACCTAGAGTGGACCGCCTAGAGCTCTTGGATGCAAACAGCGACGAAGTTGTTGGAGTAGCTTGGAGATGTATTGTGGACTCATCCTCAGATTCCGAGTCCGTTCCGTCGCAAAGGTCCTTAGGGCGGAGCTGGTACATGGGGTTCTGAGTTTCAACTGGGGAAGCCGAAGGGGTAGATGGGGCGGATGAAGAACTTTCCTCCTCTTCCCCGGGAATGCTCACGCAAATGCTGTCATGGACTTTGGGGCTGGCTTGGGGAGACGAGACAGCCGGCTCCTGCTCTTCCCCCTCGTCCTCATTCTCATTCTCCGTCTCTTCTCCGTCCTCAGCTTGTTCATCTTCAGCCTTACAAGGCTCGGCTTGAGCCTCTTCTGGCACGCCGTCATTAGCGTCGGTGGCTTCTTGATCTTGTTCATCTTCATCTTCATCTGCCTCCAACATTGAGGGATCAGCCTCACGTGGGAGAACAGCGGAGAGCCGCCCGGGGAACTTGATTGTATCGATCTCATCGAGGTCATCATCTCCGTCGCCAGGGAGCTCCTCATCCATCATCAGCTTCGCAGAGGGCCTCTGTGCACTCAAAGGCGCAGATGGGGTCTGCGACTTTGCGGCGGGAGAACCGAGCCCATTGAGCTGCTCTCGTTGAGGAAGGTTCAGAAGAGGCTTGAAACCAGGGATGGCTCGCTTTGCCGGAGACTGCAGCAAGGACACCTTTGCAGGAGAAGTAGGGATGTTGAAGTCGAAAGTCGAAGCCGAAGCAGGCTGGAACCCTTTGATGGGTGATGGGGGTCGCTTGGCAGGGGACTGGAGTAGTGATCCTTTGAGCGATGAAGTTTGGCAGCTCGCGCCAGTTGGCTTGCTTGCTGATTTGAGAGCTGATCCAGGGAAAGAAATGGCAGCGATCTTGCGTGCTGGAGACCTCATCAAGTCCTTGAAGGGCGTTGGGGTTGCCGGGGGCCTCCTTGCAGGCGAGGCCAGGCCGGTAGTAAGAGCAGGGGGGTTCAAGATATCGAAATTGACCTGCATGGTACTGTCTGCATCAGGCTCTGCGAGAATCAGCTCAGCCTGCTTGGGTGCTACGCTGGGAGCTTTGATTGGGTTCTTCTTCATGAGGGGAACGGGGACGAAATCTCCACCTGCAAGCTCATCCTCGGATTCCTCGTCGCGGACCATCATGCTCAGCTGGGTCACCTTCTTAGGGCTCAGCGGCTTCTTCTCCTTCTCGGCTCCCTGAGCGCGCCGGGGCGCAGCTACGGGACCTCGCTTGGCAGGCCGGCCTCGGATGCTCGTGACGACTGGTGCTTTCTTGACAGTAGGCTCGATGTTTTCCTTATCTGGCTCCTGGAACTTGACCGACTTCTTTGTCGCCGTCTTGTTGGCAGTTTTGGCTGCCATGCTGATGGTGGTGGCGGTAGCACCACGCGTCCGGGCAGACCTCGCCGCGGGCTCTGGAGCAGCTTCTTCCGCCTGAGGCTCTGCAACCTTCCTTGGTCTGCCTCTGGCTGGTCTGGGAGCCGGGGCAGGGTCCTCCTTGGGTACCTCAGTCGCCGAAGCCTTCTTTGGCGGTCGACCGCGTGCCGTGCGGGCAGTGACTGCGGGTGCCGCTGTCGAGGAAGGCTCCTCGGGTTCTGCAGCTTTCCTCGGACGGCCCCTGGCTGCTCTCTTAGTCGCGGGGACCTCCTTGTGCAGCTGCTCGTCGTCCTCGTCGGCCCGTGTTTTCCGCTTGGCCGCTGTGCTCTTTGTGCTGGCCGTCGCCGTCGACTTTGCTCTGGCCGCAGCGGTGACAATCTTGGTGGACGCGATGGCCGGCTCAGTGGCCTTTGCTGCAGCCCGCGACCGCGTCATTCGTTTGGGTGGGGAATCCATGATTCTCGATCTGTGTGCAGGCGTGCGTGCGTGCGTGTTTGCTTTTTGATTTTGCTGGGCAAGCCGTCAATGGGTGTATATGCTGTTTCGTTGGGGTTAGTGGGTTGAAAGAAGAGGAAGAAATCCCAAAAACTGTTCACATCGTATGCAGCGCGACGGAATAGATGTTGGGTTGTTGTTGATGATGATGCGGTCTGGGTCGCCAGGCAAGGAGAAAGAGTGAACGAACGTTTTCAGGCTGGAAAAGGGTTTGTTATGGAAATCATGCCGCGTTGGGACGCTGTTGCCCCGACAACGCCCCACCGCCCTGCAGCCCCTTGTAGGCGGCAGTCACGGTACCGGTACGTCCTTCCCCACCCCACATGGCCGCCCGTCCTCGATGCCCGGCAAGCACTGATCACCCTCTGTACTGTGGCTTGTTGGCCGTGGTACCGATACATGTACATGTCAGGTACCTTCTCAGGTATTGCCCGTTGTAACTCCAGTCATCTCTATTGCTGGCTTCGGGAGCTAAGGCATGGAGGAGACGCACGTCATCGGATCTAGGTACACCCGGACTACACCAGTCATCCGTCATCGTCATCACCGGCACAGGCGCGCAACCAGCTGGACTCACCACTCAACATTAGAAACCACCACGGCAGTGTAGTCGAGCAGCACCTTGCTTGTAGGCCTTTGATTTGGTTGGCATTTTCCCTCATCTTTCTTTGTTTCTTTGTTTCTTCCTCTCTCTCTTCCTCTCTCCCCTTTCTCTCCATCTACCCACTCTGAAAATGTTCATCCCCTAATCCAACCGTTTCTTCAGACTAAGTAAGCTCTGCTAGTATGACGAGACGCCCCTTCTGCCTGCCCATTTATTGTCTTTGTATTGCATGCATGCATTGCCCCTGTTACAATGTGGTATAGGATAAAAAATTCGAAATGGAAAAAAAAAATCAAACATGCCCCCCCGGCTAACCCCTTTGCTTAGGGCATAGACAGAGGTTGCTTTTCCTGGCCTGTTCCTTCACCTGCGCTGTGCATGACAGATCCCCCCCAAAGGTAAAATAAAGCCATATAATGCTACCATCTCCAAGTACATGGACAGTCGAAATCCGAAATTATCAACAACAACAAAAATGACAGGAGTGCTGAAACAAATGCCGGCCTAGTTCATCTAAAGGCGGGTCGAAAGGGGCCTTCAACTTTGACATCCCTAACACCTTCAGGCATGAGGCGCAGCCATTCGTTCCAACTGTCGAGATCAACTTCGTCATCGTTCATTAACCGGATCGACATGTTCAGTATCGGGTAGTTGTCATGTAAGCTGTTCCGGAGCGGGTTGCTCTGAGATACAGGAGCGACGAAAATTGAAGGAAGCCGAGAATTTCCTGACATCATCGTATGCAGAGGTGCCGGAAAACTCGTCAAAACCTCCCGTTCAGGGTTCCTGTCCCGAACCATCATTGGATAACTAGAGAGAAGTGCCGAGTGTAGTTCGGCAGCTGAACAAGGGTGCATTCGGCTCGCTCGCGTTCGTAGCAGTTCTGCCAAGGCCAGCGTGAAGGCGCACCGGTTTAACGCACTGTAGTGCTCGTCTGACGTCGAGGCCGCAATAAGTTCCAAAACCCCCTTTTCGCGACACATTCGAGAAGATGCGTAATAAGCGGCATCCATTATTAGGAGGGTGTCGGCATATGCTTCTTCAAGGATCTGCTGAATCCCGTTCCATCGGATTATCGATGCCTTCTGGCTATCTCTGGAGCTGCTTGGGTGATTAGAATACAACCAGAACCAGCAAGAAGAGGCCGGCAGCGCGGAAAAGGTAAAAAAACGTACCTAGCGAGCACCATCTCCCTATTCCCATCAAGATACGTATGACCTACATAGTAGACGATTTTCAAGACATCGCGCTGGTCACGATCCTCAGCAAAGTCTCCCATCTGCCGAGCAAGCCACCTCCACGAGCTCCTGGAGCCGTCCGAAGACGAGGGAATCGGTTGTATCTGCAACGCGTAATGGTAGAGCTTCTCCAGGACGTCCGCCAGTTCTCGCACAGCATTGTGAATGGTAGCCACCTCGTCATCGTCGTCCTGCCAAAATAACAGGAGGGCCTGGACTGCGGTATAGCGTGACCGGCTTGCGGTTGACAGCATTCGCATGGCGTTGGATTGTAGCTCGTTCTTCAAAGTCTCGATCCCGGGTAGGGAAAGAGACTCGAGGCGAGGACCTGATGGCAGCGGAGTGCGGTGACGGGAATCGCCCGGGGGCGGCGGCCGGCTAGGATGGTTTGATGGGGATCCTGAGTCAATATCCATCTCGTGGGGGTTGTGGGGAAACATATGGTGACCACTGCCCTGAGCTGGCGCTGGACTCAGAGGCCGCCCAGGGGCAAGTGGTGCTATATCGTGTATTGATGGGCTGTGGGATCTGTGGAATTTGTTGACGACATCCTCCCATGTCATGTTGTGGTGACTCGGTTTACACTTGAGATAAATGATGGTTAGTTAGCGAGGCACTTACACGAAAGTATCTGCTTTCTGCCACCCTCCCCCCCTCCTCGTTTTGTCTCCCAACTGAAACGTTTTGGGGTATAGAATCCAAGCATTGAGCATCATAAGGATTTTAATGAAAGTTTGAACAAGGACACAGCAAGGAACCGTATTCTTCGGACGGAGATGGTACTTACGGCAACTCTTCTTCGGCGGCAATCGCTGCACGCGCCCAGTTTCCGGATTAAGGCGGCCCGTTCTCTCGATTGCTGGGACAAGGGCCCGGTACGTCTCCTGCTGGTGCGACGGCTGTTAGAGACGTCGGTGCCATCCTTGAGGGAGAAGATAGATTGGTGCAGTGTAGGAGAGGTGTCGGAACTGTACGATGTGTTGGTGGTCTCCGTGGAGGCCTGAGTGGCGCTGGTGGCCTGAGTAGAGATGGACGAGGCAGTGTCCTTTCTCGGCGGAGGAGATGAGATGGCCGAAGACGGGTGGTGGTGATGCTGCGGCGGCGGCGGCTGCGGCTGAAAGAAGTGCGATGGTGGCGTTGAAGCAGCCGCAGTGGCTGCGGAAGCGATGACGGCCGGGGGTTCATCGGGTCTCGGCAGCGGTCCAGGGGCTGGACTCTGCTGCTGTTGCTGCTGTTGTTGCTGCTGCTGCTGCTGCTGCTGGTGATGGGCTGAAGCAAGAATGGCGAGGGACTGGACCGGAGTCGAAATTGGTGGAGGTGGTGACGAGGGCGAGATGGGCGGCGGTAATAACACGGAGGCCGGAGCCGAAACTGCTGAGACCGGAGCTGAACCCGGAGTTGGCGATGAGGAAGCAACGAGCGAGGGAGACGATTCTGGAGGGGCCTCGGCCAGGTTATGAACGGGGTTCATGACAGGCGACGGAGGAGAGCTCGAGGAGACGGGGCGGGTTTGAAGCAGGTGAGTGACCCTCAGACGCCCATCATGGTCCAGGATTGGGTTGAACGAGAATGATAGCCCAAGCCGAGGTCCCTACAGCCCAGCGCGTGAGCGACGAATGAGGAGAGAAAGCTAAGGATAGAACGGGACAAGCCCGTACCAAAGCCCAGAGGGAGTTTCAACGAGAGAAAAGCAGGAGAGAGGCGTCGTTAAGGAGCTGACGGGGGCGAGGCGAGGAGCAGAAGAGGTCGTCCGAGCAGGATGGAGTCTGACGTGAGGAAAGGCAGAAAAAAAAGCAAAGGCAAAAAAAAAAACTCGAGGCAGGAAGAGCGAGGAAGAGGAAGAGGACGCTGAAGACGGGGTGAGGATAGGTACGATGCAACTTCTGCTGTGCGGCGGCAGTGTGCCCCACCTCGATGCAAGACTGGGCTGGCCGGCGGCTTCGAGGCAGGAGGAGCGAGGAGCACACACGGCGATGTCTCTCTTCTGCAGTTGCGTCGACCTACAACACACCTTGGCGCAGCTGGTAGTTCCCGTGCTCGTGCTCGTGCCTGTGTCTAGGCCTGTGCTCGTCTCTAGCTCTCGCTCTCTTCTGGCCGTTGGTGATCACTGCAGAGAAGAGGAGGTTAGCCTAGAAGTTAGCCGGCATCCAATCCTCAGTACATGCCCGGGCAGGCACGTATGTTGTTAGTAGGTCGAGTGTGCACGGAGGAATGGACGGATGGCGGGGTAATAACAGCAGGCAGGGCAGTTAGACAGGCAGTGAAGTGGCAGCAGTGGGCAACAGATGCGACAGCTGGACTCGGATGGACTGCTGCTACTGGCCAAAGGCTGGGCTGGCCAGTAGACCGGAGGCGTACGAGGAGGAAAACGGGATGAGCGCGTTTATGGAGGAGGAAGACAAGGTACGTACAAAGTGTATGAGAGTGAGGGCGAGGGGAGGGATCGTGGGCGAGGGAAGAAGAGAGGGACCTAAAAAGACCAGACCGGCGTCTTTCTTCTACCTGGCAGGCAAACCCCGGGCTGCACGGCGAGGAAGGAGATAGAAAACGGCGATGGGATGGGCAGGTGGTTTAGCTTTGGAGTCGAGGTCGAGAGCACCCAGCCCAGACGCAGCTAAGAGGCTGCCGTCTCTTTTTTCTGCTCTGCCCTGCGCCTGTGTCTGTCGGCATCGGCGCTGGCGCTGCTGGAACGGGTGCTGGGCTGCGCTGCGGGTGAGGTGGTGTGTGGTGTGTGCGGGTGGTGTGTGCTTGCGCTGCCCCACCACAGCTAAAGGCAACCTACAGCTCCAGCTGCTGATAGGTACAGCTACTTGCCCAGGTACCTGACAGCTACGGCTACGGCGACTTTGAGCTCAGCTTCAGCCATCGACGCCCGGATACGTCAATCCAGCCCGTCCAATCCAGCCAGCAGCCAGCCAAGAGGGCGCCAGCTTGGCTGCTTCCCCAGCCCACACGCGGGGAGGACGTGTCTGTTCTCTTCGTCGACACCCGAGCTCCATCCACCGTCCGTCCCTAGGTAATTACCTGTGCCCATATGCGGTCCATGCCCGTGGAGACTGGCGCTGCCCCCCTGGTGCCCAGAGACCAGACCGTTGAGATAAATCCTGGGCGTGGCTGAA